GCAACCTTCTGATTACAAGACGAACACCCAACTCTTGAGCCACGATCGCAGCTGTTTCACAAACCGCCTCTTTGTGTTCAGCCAGCTGCTAAAAACAGACCAACAGTAACGTTTCCATCAGCAGCTTCAGTCTGAAAAAGGACAAACAGGGGCGCCGTCACCCGCAGACCTGCAGGTCACAGCCGGAGACATCAGCATATGCAGATGATGCATGTGTGCTCATGACAAACTCCCAACAATCAGTTCCAGCTGTATTATATTTAACACTGGAGGACCTGAAACCTGACTGTTACCTAGCAGAGGCTTTCTGGCTCAGAGTTTTCAGGACCTGACAGCACTTCCTGCTCCTTTCTTTAGGATGCCCCGGGGCAGACCCTGGGTCAGCTGGAGAGATCTCTCTGCTGGTTTGGGAACACCGTGGTCCCTCCACAGGAGCCAAAAGAGGTTTGGAGCCTGTAGGATGCAAATGTGTCTGCTGCTTCCTGGCAGAAGTTATTTTAGCAGGTCTGCAGTCACACAGGTGCTTCCACTTCCTGTGATGAGCCACGGAATGAACGAGCCACGAAGGCCGGGAATCAAATCATTACAGACCTGCTGCAGTCGCTTATTCTGCATTGTTTTCATAGGCGAGCAACTGAAGGCCTCATGCACACACAGACACACACAGCCAACAATCCTCTGTAATAAAAGCAGAAACTCAAAAATAAACTTCATTTTCAACAATGTTAACAGTCACATAATCCAGACGACACACAGGAAGTGTGTGTGCGTGTGAGTGAGTGTGTGTGTGTGTGTGTGTGTGCAAGAATGCGTGCAGGATGTGAAGCTGTTCAGCCAAATCAGCTCCATCTGAGCTGCTTATCTCTGATTTATAGAAAACACACAAACATGCACGCAGGGCTGTACTTCACACACACACACACACACACACACACACACACACACACACACACACACACTGTATTCGTTCAGCCACTGCTGCTCTGACACAGGTAAACCTCACCTGTCAGTCTCCCACAGCATGCACACC